CTGTAGGAAAGCAGATTGAAGATCTGCTCCCATGATTTCCTGTTCCATAGGAGGGAGGTGGGACACAACTACTTACAAGTTCTCATTTGATCTGTGATGCTCAGAGATGATCAACAATACTCCAGCAACAGCAGCAGCATCCCCTGGGAGCGTGCGAAAAATGCTGACTCTCCACATCTTTTAGGCCCATGGCAGTGGGCATCCAAACATGGTACTATGTGATAGGAAATGTCTTGTGGATCTGTAGCCTATAGGCTGTTAGGTATGCAGGAGATGTTTGTTTGTTTTACAGAGTTTCTTGTAGCTCAGGCTGATCTGGAACTCACTATGGAGCCAAGGATAATGTTGTATCTTTATCCTCCTGCTCCCACCTCCTATGTGCTGTGATTACAAGTGATTGTGCCACCATGCCCAGAGTGGTGGGGATTTACAGAGTTTTGGGGATTGAATACAGGACTTGGTGCATGCCAGGCAAGTATTCTGTCAACTGAGCCAAAACCCCAGCCCTGAGAAGGTTTTTCTTATGTGTTGGAACTGATGGATACTTTTAATGCTAGCTTCCCCTCTTGGCCTTCTGCTTTGTTCTGCATTGTAACTGCCAGCCTGCAACCTTCTCTATGCTGCCCTCACTTTGACATGACCCACTTGCTCTTGACTACACTCTGTACACACCCCCAAATACTACTAAGGTGTACTTTGGAGTATTGTTTTCTTTTGTGTGTGTGTGACAGGATTACTTGGAGATTCCTCCGCCCATTTTTAAGACAAAGTAGACTATGTAGTCTTCATTGGTCTGAAACTCTTTGTAGACCAGGCTGGCCTCAAAACTCACAGAAATCCACCTGCTTCTTCTTCACTGGTGCTGGGATTAAAGGTGTGTGCCACCACCCCTGGCCCTGAACTTCTTTTTAGGAATTATTTATATATTTCTTTGTGTGTGGATGTGTGTGTGTTCATGCATGTGTGCATGCACATGCTCGCACACTCAGTCAGAGGACAACTTTGTGGCAATCAGTTCTTTTCTTCCACTATGTTTATTCCTGAAAACTAATTCAAATCACAAGTCTTGGTGGTAAGCTTCCTTCCCTGGCTGCTATTACAGGCATGCACCAGTACACCTGGCTTTGCATAGTCCTGAGGATCAACCCAGGGTTTAGTGAATGCCTGGCAGGTACTCTGTCATCTAAGCTACATTCTGAGTACCCAAAGTAGTGTTTCCAAAAGGGTAAAGAGGATGGATGCCTTTTTAAAATCTCTCTCTCTCTTTCTTTCTCTCTCTCTCTCTCTCTCTCTCTCTCTCTCTCTGTCTCTCTCTGTCTCTCTCTCTGTCTCTCTCTGTCTCTCTGTCTCTCTGTCTCTCTCTCTGTCTCTCTCTCTCTCTCTCTCTCTCTCTCTCTCTCTCTGTGTGTGTGTGTGTGTGTGTGTGTGTGTGTGTGTGTGTGTGTGTGTGTTTAGAGGCCAGGATCGGAAATCTGGAGTCCTCTATCATTTTTTCCTTCATTTTTCAAGACATGATATCTCACTGAACCTGAAGTTCATCACTTTTGCTGTGCAGTCTGGGCACCGAGCACTTGGAATCAGCCCATTTCCACCTGCAACGCTGGGTGACAGGTACGCTCTTTTTAATGGGTGCTAGGCATTTGAACTCATATTCTCTTGCTTTTCCAGAAATGATTCGTACCCACAGAGCTATCCCCCTAACCTATTTTTAAAATGTGGATGGGTCGGCTTACACAACACAGTGCATTCAGTCAATTCCTCACTGTGTTATTTCTGACTCTTTGTTCTTGGTATCCTGCACGAAAATGCCCTTGCCCTGCCATTGCAGGGAGGGTCCAAGTATGTATCTAAATGACCATGGCAATGAGTGGTAGCGATGTGCCTGTGCCAGATAGGGTTGAGGACTGCTTGGCAATAACTGGGTCAATACGGCACCTAGGGGGTCTTAGGCTAAGGAGGATCCAAAAACGTGCAGTAAAGAGAAAAAAGGAATGCTATGAATGCAGTAGAACTTTGCCTGCTCCGGCACTGGGAAGCTGAAATTCAGAAATGCTTTCTCGGGTTTGCCCATCCACCACTAGCCTTTCATCTGCAAAAGATGATGAAAACAATATGGCATCATGAAAGAGTTGGAAAATAGAATAACGCACTTGCTCACCAATAGACTACCCTAACCCTGTAGAGAACTGTTTTACTGTTTCTTTATTTTGTTGGTGTTGGTAGTCATGGGATTTGTGTGTATGCATAGCCCATCCTGGTCTTGGACATGTGACTTGCCTGTCCCAGTGTGTTCTGGGTAGTGGAATTTCAGGGATGTGCCTCCATATCTATGGTTTGCGTCTTATTTTTCTTTATCTGTGCCCCTCAAAGATGGCAATGGTCTAGCTCTTGAAAGCAGAGAAAGCTTCATGAAAATGTGAATATTAAGGTTGCAGTTGGAACGAAACTTTCTTACCCCACTGGCTTCATCTGAGGGAGCCCACGCTGGATTACCAGGGTGTGTTGCGTTAATGCTATGATGCAAATACCTGGCAAAAGAAACTTAAAGATTTGTTTTCGGTCACAATTTGAGGATCAGGTCCATCATTGTTGGGGGAAGGCATGGTGGCAGGAGCTTGCGGCAGCAGGTCACATTGCATCCAACATCTAGGAAGCAGAGAGAGTGATGAATGTCAGTGCTAATCTCACTTTCTACTTGTCATTCAGTCTGTGACCCCAGCTCTTAGGATGGGGACATCAATAATCATGGTGTATCTTTCCATCTCAACTCAATTTAGAAAATCTCACACAAACATGCCCAGAGATTTGTCTACTTGGTGATTTGGGACTCTGTCAAGTTAGCCATCACACTGGGTGAACCCAACGCACGCAGAAGGGTACTGAAAAGTGGAAGAGGGCAAAGAGGCAAGCAATGCAAAGGAGAAGGTGACTATGGAGGGAGGTCAGTTTAGGAGTCCTGTAGAAGTTGCTGTAGGGAAGGGCCAACAACCAAGGAGTGTGGGCTCCCCCTAGAGGCCGAAAAGGTCAAGGAAATTCATTTTAGTGTCTCCAAAAGTGTGCCTTGATTTGATCCCATTGCAACCTCCAGAATTGTAAAATAATGAATTTGAGTTATTTAAGAAGTTAAGTTTGTGGTAATTTGTTACGTCAGCAATGGAAAACTAATGCACATTATTTTTCACAGTTATAGCATACCTTATACCGTTTTTTTATGTTCCTGTAGTTTTCATAATCATTTTCCATAGTTATTTGGCCACAAAGGATCATATTAATCTATGAGCTGAGGTGTTGGTTTTGCCTTAATTACACCTCTTAAGTGTGTGCATATCTTTCTGCCTCTTATTTTTTCATAAATTTGATTATTTCCAGAGACAAGCTATCAGAAATGAAATTTGGGCTTTGAGTTTCTTCCATTGCTTTTTCTTTTCTTTCTTTTTTTTGTGACAGGGTTTCTCTGTGGTTGGAAGGCTGTCCTGGAACTCGTTCTTGTAGATCAGGCTGGTATCGAACCAACAGAGATCCACCTGCCTCTGCCTCCCAAGTGCTGGGATTAAAGGCGTGTGCCACCACCACCTGGCTCCATTGCTTTTTCTATATTCATCTCAAGAAAGAATGTTCAGCCCTCCAGAATTTGACTTGATGTACGACATAAGGCGAGAATGTACTTTTCTAAAACCGAGTTTGTCTCTCAACAACATATACTAAATGACCTTTCCCCCTTTTCTGTTTCTTTCCTTATTAAATATTCAGTTTGGTACAAAAACAAGCTCATTTCCAGCTACCAATTCTCTTCCATTAATTGATTTTTGTCTGTTCTTGAGCCAGTAAGTATTTTCGAATTTCTGTAATATGATATATATATATATATATGGTCTAGTCTTTTCTCTAATTACATTTTTGTTAAAATTTTAAAATAGATTCTTCTTATCTGCATGTTAAAAATATTCCTTCTAGCTTATAGAAAAATTCCATAGAGAGTGCCCAGTGTCCAATGTCTTGACAAATACTTGGTAAACTCTTAGCTTGGCACATGAAAGCACTCAATCATGGGATTCCATTTTTCCTGTTCTTTTTTTTTAATATAACCATTACTATAGTTTTAGGGTACATATTTGCTACCTTCCTTATGAACTATATTCTGTTTTTAATAACAATTTTTTGTAATTCCTTGGCTCATGATTCTTAATTCTTACAATGTATTTTGATTGTATTCATTCCCCACTCCTCATTTTGACTCCTCCCAGATCCACCTCCACCTCCCTATCCCCCAACTGTGTGGTGACGATCGACTCTGCTTTGGGTATGGGCATTCACTGGTGAGTGATCAACCTACTATATTCTGTTTTATGAGGTTTGCTCATCCTTTTCCTAGCCCATACTGCACCATTACAATGATTTGTCTTTCAAGCTTTTTAAAATGAGTTCCAGCTGTTTCTCACTAGCCATGTGCTCTTGAATTCATCACTTAGCCTTTTGGAGGGCTACTTTCAGCCTTAAGAGGAAGTCAGCTGTAACTCCTTTGCAGAGCTGTCAACTGGATTACAGTTAATTTAAAGGAAGACTCTAGCAAGATCCCTTACACTTAGCTGAAAGAACAAGGAATGCCACTATACATCTCATTACTGTGTTATCCTACCCTCATTAGGTCATAAACTCTTTAAAAGTAAGGCTGTGTTATTCTTAATATATGTCCTATTACGCCTAGGGTATAACAGTGCTTCAGTACAGATCAGTGACATTATACTCATTTTAATATGATGCCTTTTGTTTGTTCTTTGAGAGTTTCATTCATGTATTTTCACCATATCCCCTCCAACTCCTCCTTGGTCCTTCCCCAACACATCTACTTCCTAACTTTATGTCCCCTTTTTCTTTTCCTTTCCTTTTTTTAAATAACCAACTGAGTCCAATTAGTGTTGCCCATATGTTGTTGGGTATAGGGCATCCAATGGAGTATGATCAACCTATTAAGTGACCGCATCCTTAGAGAAAATTGACTTGTGCTCGAATCCTCAGCACACATACTAAAACTGGAATGATTCAGAGAAGATTAGCATAGCATGGAACCTTCACAAGGATGACATGCAAATGTGTGGAGCATTCCATATTTATTTTTAAAAAGAAGCAAAGAAAAGAAAACTGATTTTTCCTTCCTTAGCAGCCATTAACTGTCAATAGCTCCTCAGCTGCAGGGGGAGGGCTCATAGCATACTCTGTTTTGAAGTGAGGAAATAAAAACAACATATTTTTTAAATGTGAAAACACAGAAATGAAATGGTGGAGCCAGGCCTTTGATACCAATTTCCTTGCCTCCACCTTATGACCCTGGAGTGAAATCTCTGATGCTTTATACTCAGTGTCTCTGCTCTCACTTTCCTATTCAGCCTTGGCCCCTCCTTCTGTAAGAGCCTGCAGCATCCTCCCAGGAACCCTCTCACCTCCCTCTCAAACTGCAGACATTTATTTGGCCCAAGTTCCAGACAGGTCAGAGAACCAGGAGTCAATATCCCTAGAAATACCTTTGACAATGATGGGTGAGTGTCAGTAGCTAAATGCCATAGCCTTCTCACCTGCTAAGGGGAACCTAGAGATTTGAACAGTGATGATGGATGGATAGGGTCAGGGTCTCTATCCATCTGGGATGTGTTATGTGGAGAATTCCAGAGATGATATTAAAAACTTCTAACAATTGAATGGAATGATTTAGCATCTTTTGATCTAATAATTTGAAGATTTCTATTTTATATGTCCTTTTGTCGACTGGCACAAAAAACGTATACATTTGTGGGAGTACCGTATGGTGGTGTGTTGATATATGTATGCACTGTGTAATGTTCAGCTCGTGGTAAGCATATCCACCTCCTAAAGTATCCATGCTTCTTTTGTCATACAAATACTCAAAATTCTTCCTTCTAGCTTTTTGAAGTATATAGCAAGACAATAAAGAATAAAGAGAGAAGAAAACTTCAGTCTTATTATCATTATATATTCATGTTGCTGTGGAATAGAATATACTAGAAATGAGCTGGGAATGTAGCTTTGCTTAGCTATTTGCCTACTCTATGTGAGGTCCTGTACTTGTTTCCTAACAAAGCAAACAAACCACTAACAGAAAAACCAAACACCTAAATGTCTTGCTCCTATGTCACTTCAACTTAGTACCCACTAACCAAGCACTCCCCATCTGCTCCTTCCTCATTCTCCCTAGCCTCTGGTAAGCACTACTCTACTCCCAGCTTCTCTACGATTGACTGCAATACATTCTTTATATGAGTGAGATCATGTAGCATTTATAGTTCTGTGTCTGGATTATTTCCCTTAACAGAATGAGCCCCAGCTCCATCCATGCTATTGTAGATGGCTGCATTTTATCTTTTTTTGTGATTGGATGGTGTTCTCTTGATCCATTCATCAGTTGGTGGACACTTAAGTTGCTTCCACTTCTTGCCTAGTGTGAATAGTGCTGCAATAAACATGGGACTACAGATGTGTCTTCCAAGTACAGATTTCACTTTATGTGACTGTATGGCCAGTAATGACTGTCTCCCTTCCCTTCTCTCTCTCTCCCTTACCACCTCGCTTCCCTCTTGAGGCAGGATCTCAATCTGTAGCCCAGACTGGACACCTGCAACTCATTATGTAGGCCATGCTGACCTCAACTTTCAGTAATCTCATGCTTCAGTCTTTCAAGTGCCAAGAGTACATGTGTGAGCCCCCATATGGAGCTTGGTAATTTCATTCTTGGGTTCTGTTTTGTCCTCAAAATATTTCATACTGTTCTCCAAAGTGGCCATAGTTACATTGCCAGCAGTGTGTAGATTCCCTTTTTTTCTACCTTATCGGCATTTTCATTTTATTGATGTTTTGCCTGCTTGTATGCCTGTAGAGTGTATGTATGATAGTGCCCATGGAGGCCAAACCAGGGCATCAGTTGATATTCCCCACCATTGGAGTTAAAGATGATTGTGAGCAGCCATACGGGTGCTGAGTATTGAACCCGGGTCCTCTAGAAGAACAGCCAATGTTCTTAAATCCTAAGCCAACTCTTCAGCACTGTGTGATCACTTTTTAATTGTTAATTTTCTTCTAGTTGACACTTCTGTTATGTAGACAGAAGTCTTATTTTAGTTGAATTGGACATTTTAAAAGTCTATCTTTATTTATATGTATATGTGTCTGTGTGAGTGAATGCTACATGTGTGCAGGTGTCATTCCTTGCAGGCTGAAAGATGTCCTGGAGTTGGAGTTATAGGTGGTTGTGAACTGCCTGACACAGGTGCTGGGAACTTAACTTTGGTTCTCGGGAAGATCAGCAAGTGCTCAACACACTGAACCATCTCTCCAACCCCAAGGACACTTTTGAAAACTGTTTTCAACTTTTACTAAAGCAATTCAAGTACTTTTACAATGCTTTACTTGAGGTTGTCTCATAACTGAGCCCCATTGTTTCTGGTGAGAAGGGAACTAACTGCGGCTTCGGGTACATAGCTTAAGTTTGACCACATGCCATCATAAGTGCTCAGGGACCAAAAGTTCACTTTGGAGACTCCTGCCCAAATCTAAGGAAATTTCAATTTTTGGGGAGGGTCGTTCTTCATACAATTCCAGAATTCAGTATTGTTGCCACTGGGGCACAGCAACATCACCTGAAAGTTGTTCCTCCACAGCACCTACAAACACAACTCTGGGGCCTCCAGCCAAAGCACCTGACTCAGGGCAGCTGCATGGCACCCATAGATGTGTCAGGTCCTGAAATGCTCGGTGACTATGGTCAAGCCTTCCGATTCTTCTGGGTTCTATTGTTTCTCTCTCTTGCCTCTATCATGACTGGGCTAGCCTCAGCCCTCTGCTTCTTCAAGTTATGGGTCATGGAGCCAACTTGAAGGTGATGAAGCCAATGTGGTGATTGGGCATTGGTAGAATAAGATGGAGACACATTTCCTGAGGGACAAACCAGCAGCACCAGAACCACAGCTTCCAAGTACCAGGGCCTTTTTAAGAAACTGGTTCTTCTAGGGCTATGGCTATAGCTCAGCTGGTAGGATGCTTGTCTAGAATGCACGAAGCCCTGGGTTCCATCCCTTGTAAAAGGGAAAACCAAGTAAAATGATGCATACCTGTAATTCTAACACTCATGAGGTGGAGGCAGTGTGGTGGTTTGAATGAATGCCTTCCCATAAGCTCACACATTTGAACAATTGGCCTCCAGTTGGGCCAGGAAGATGCAAAGTTCAAGAACCTTCTCAGCTACATAGTAAGTTTCAGGCTAGCCTCAAGCAATAAATAAATAATAACTAACTATCGAAAAATAAATAGACTCTTCTTGGCAGGAGATTAGAAAACTATTCTACAGGAAAGTATTGACAAGACATAGGCCTTTTACAGTCTGCTTGGCTTTTTTGAACATTTGATTTGGAGCATAGCTATGTTCGTTTCTGTGTTACTACTGGCAGATCTTTCTCCATGGTGACAGAAAAGAGTTGGGTAATAGAGACTGACTGATCTGCAAAGATGAGGGAATTTACAGAGCAGCTTTCGTCTAGATTTTTAAATTTAAATTAGAAACAAGCTTGTTTCACATGTCAATCCCAGATCCCTCTCTCTCCCCTCCTCCCTTACCCTCTCTCATCCTCCCAGTCCCCCCACTCAATCCCAACTTCACTCCCCAGGGAGGGTGAGGCCCTACATGGGGGATCTCCAGAGTCTGTCATTTCATCTGGGCCATGGCCTAGGCCCTCCTCCATGTGTCCAGGATGAGAGAGCATCCCTCCATGTGGAATGGGTTTCTAAAGTCCATTCATATGCCAGGGATAAATACTGATCTACTACCATAGATTGCTGAGGCCTCCTCACTGACACCCAAATTTAGGGGGTCTGGATGAGTTTCAAGCTGGCCTTTCAACCATCAGTCTGGGGTCCATGAGCTCCCCCTTGTTCATTTCAGCTGTTTCTGTGGGTTTTACCAGCCTGGTCTTGACCCCTTTGCTCATCACTCCACTCTCTTTGCAACTTGGTTCCAGGAGTTCAGTTCAGTGTTTAGCTGTGGGTGTTAGCCTCTGTTTCCATAAGCCACTGGATGAAGGCAGAGCAGCTTTCTAAGCACAAAGTCAAGATGTGGTCTCTACCTCCCTAGGTGCCCAGCTGGATTTAAGTGCACTAACCCATAGTGCTAACTTGCTCTGTGAAAAACCTTCCCTTCCTTCTGTGCCTTCCCTCTTCCTCTCACTTCTTGTCAGTGTTCCCATGTCTTTTGATAGCTCAAAGATCTGTGCTCACGTTCTTTACCTGAGATCAGTGTCCACCTCATGTCCTTGTTGGCCCTGGTCCTGGCCCTACCACTCACTACATGGGCCAGCATGTCAATTCTATTGTCAGACCTGGCCCTTCCCTCTCTTTTCTGCGGTTCTGTGTGAAGATTCATGAGTATTAAGTTTTCTGAATAATTTCTTCTCTCTTACCAAACACACACACACACACACACACACACACACGCCCATCTTGCTTTACACTTCATAATTCAAATAACTAAAAACAAAAACCAACCAAGCAAACAAATAGCTTGTGGGGGCCTGTGTCCAACCACAATCCAAGCACCTGAGTCTCAGCCAACTGTTTTTCACCTGCCTCTGATCCTTTATAGTTTCACCTGTCACGGTAGGCCATTGCCCGTCTCAGCCTTATTGCTGCTGCTTCTGTTTCTTTCTACCCTTTCCTAATTACTTAGGTCACTTCAGACTTTAATTCTGTCTTCTAAAATGTAACACAGCCGTAATTAGGCCATATGTTAATTAGCAGGATGACGCCTTGTGCCTTTTCACTCGTGATGGATGTGGATTATCCCAGAAAGTGCCTCCGAAAGGGGAGTTCAGTGGGAAGAAGAAGCCTACAGTGGTTGCGAGTGACTCTTGGCATAGCACAAATTGCTTTAAAGATCAACAGAACATGGTTGTATGGAAGCGGAGGAAAGGATGGGGTCATACCAAGAAAAAGAGCTAGAGTTGACCTCTTTTCTACTCCAGGAATGAGCTGTAAGTCAGAAGGCAAGCCTGAGTCTGAGGATCCACTAGGGATGGCAGAATCTCCTGACCGATTGGAGTTGGTGGCCAGGGCTG